CCCCGGATCGGCCCTTTCCCCCCCATATGCTGCGGGGAGTGGGGGTCGCGCTCCCCCCCCCGGGTCCCCCCTGCTCTGCAGAGCCCCCTCCCTGGCCGAGCTCCCCCGCCACGGGAGCTGCCAAGCTGCAGCTCCTGCAGCATTGGAGTGTGTGACCCCCCCCCAAACCCACCCCTGCCCCGAGCTCCACCAGACCCCAGCACCCACCTGGGCTCCGCTGGCCGGGGGGGGCACCTGCCCTCCCCACGGGCACTGCTGCGTCCCAGGGGCGAGGCCGGTGCTGGCAGAGGAGTAGCAGGAATGGCACCTGAGGCCAACCGCAGCCGGAGCCTCGAGTCTCCCCGAATTCAGGGCTGGGGAAGCGGCTGCAACTCCCTTTGCCCGCCCAGGGACTTCCAGCACTTTTCGGAGGAGGATGAGGCACCCCTGCCCTGTCCTCCCCGGCCTTTGCTGCCCCACGCTTGCAGGGGATCCTGGTCCTGACCAAACCCTTCCCTGTACCCCATTCCCTGTGCTCCACACCCCTCGCTTGGCCTGCCACCTTCCCCCCACCCACCCACTCCTGGTCCCATCCAGGCTCTGCGTGGCCCCACGCCACGGCACCGGCCACTGCACGTTGCCCTTGTTCCATTTTTGGCCCTAAGTGGGCAGAAATCTCCCAGCGTATTTAACGTCTAAATCCCGAATCCCTGGAAGCTGCGATTAAGCCTCCCTCCCTGCGGAAAATCCTCAGTTTGAGCCAGACTTGGCCAGCTCCGGAGCCATCCACGCCGCACCGCTCTCCGCCCGCCCGCCCGCATGGTCCGACCCCTCCAGCCATGTGCTGCCCAACACATGGGGGAGAGCAGGAAGCCAAAGTTGCCTCCCCCGCAGAGGGACCCCCTCAGCCCTGGGGCATCCTGGCCCCCCCCACCCCAGCACCCTCCTTGCCGGTGTCCCCGTCTGGCTGGGGACGGGGGGGTCTGTTGGTGCTGGGGGTCCGATGGCTCAGGGTGGTGGGGTGTCTGCGTAGCTGGATGAAGGGAACCCGGTAATTTTGAGCCATAAAGGCTCGTAGTGCATGAGGAGGAGGGTGGGCTCCGGCCCCTTGCCCGCTTTCCCCACTCGGTCCCGGCTCCACCGGTGGAAGCAGGGCAGAGCCAACGGCTCAGCCGTGGGAAATGGTGGCCACGCCAGCCAGGGGCGAAGGCAGGGCGACCCCGGCCCCAAAGCGGCGAGCAGCGGTGCCCGGCCCCCAGCCCCAGCCCGGCCGGTGGGTTTCGCCGCCGAGAGACCCGAGGCGCGGTGAGGGGCTCGGGGGCCGAGCCCGGGCGGGGGCGACGGGCGGCTCCGCAGCTCGGGGACGCGCCGGGACCGTCGGCCGGGAGCCGAGGCGGTGGCTCCGCTTAGTGGCACCGGGGAGAAAGACAGAGGGGACGGGGGCTCACCGCCACCCCCGTCCCTGCACCCCAGCCCTCGCAGGAGCTCCCTTCGGGGCAGGGGTCT